AGGGACATGGTTTAGTGGGCATGGTGGTGTTGGGTTGACGGTTGGACTCGATGACCTTAGAGGTCTTTTCTAACCTTAATGATTCTATGATTCTATACTGAAGAGAAAACACAGAACAAATGAACATGTGGATTACATATCTGCCTGCATTTTTTCCAATGTCCATTCTGTTTTGGGGTGACTTCAAGTAGTATTCTATAATGATAAGGGACTGTGCAACTCAGGACCCTCATCAAGGCCACGTCATCAGAGCTCTGTCACATGCAATGTCATTCCAGGACGACACTGTAATGACGGTGAAGGTACAAATAAAATAGCATGACAACTCTGTCAGCATTGGATATGGAAACATTTTTGGACAAAGCCACAGAGAACAGCTGGGCCACTGAGGAAAATAAATGTTCTGATTAGCAAGGACAATTCCTTTTCTATTGCCTCATGAAAGGTAATATTGCAAACCTCCTGGAGCTGCTTTTATTCATGAAAACAGAAAAAAATCATACGGCTTTTTTCCTGAATTAGTTTTCTTCCATTTTAGCAAGAAAGAAATGGTGATGACAAATCTGATGAGCAACAGAATTTTTGCAAGAAAAGGCAGTGGAAGGCTGTGGATGGAGGAAATAAGCCCTTGCTCTTCCAGAATCAGTAAGATCTGCGCATGGAATTAGAACCTCACACAGTATCTGTACAGACAGCCTCACTCTGGCTCATCTTACAGATGAAGTGAAGGCATCCAGCTTCTGAGACTTTGAAAAGTTTGATCATACATAAGGGTGAGCCATCCAGTTGTAAGGGTCCTTTGTACCTGTCAGCTTTCTAGCCAAAAATAAATCAGGAAAATTAATAAGGAAGTGTAATAGTAAAGAGCACACCAAGGAAGTGTAATAGTAAAGAGCACACTGGCAGAAGTTCAAAGGTGCACTGAATGATTAGCAGAAGTTCAAAGGCACTTCCGTCGAAAGCTGGGCCAACATTTATGTTCAGACCTATGACAAAATAGAGAAAATAAGGCTGATAATGCCAGACACACTTTGAGCTGGAATATCATAGAATAGGGGTAGAGGGAAGGAAGCATACAGGCAGAAACTGCCCTTTAGTGGAACTGATAGCTTAAATGCCTTCAGGTCAAGAAGTAATCCAGAAGATCATAAAAATCAAGACCTAAAGGCTAAATACAATGTCAAGATCCTTGTCTACAGGTCTGATGGAATCCTTCCTGTTGTCAATGAGAGCTTCTTCTACCAAGAAAGAAAAAAATTTAATTAAAAAAGTCACTTATCTCTAGCTTTGGTGGTATAATACATAAATTGGAGTCCCAGTGGTGCACTCTTCCATCAACATCCCTGACAAACCAAAAGGTCAAAGGAGTCAAATACAATGTCAAGATCCTTGTCTACAGGTCTGATGGAATCCTTCCTGTTGTCAATGAGAGCTTCTTCTACCAAGAAAGAAAAAAATTTAATTAAAAAAGTCACTTATCTCTAGCTTTGGTGGTATAATACATAAATTGGAGTCCCAGTGGTGCACTCTTCCATCAACATCCCTGACAAACCAAAAGGTCAATTGAGTCTTGACCTACAGCTCCTGCCTCAACACGGCAAAGATGAGGCCAAACTCAAATTCATCTCATCTTCTACAATCCCAGCAACAAGACAGATGAAGAAAAGTCACAAAGTAGCTTTCAGCAGTTCAACCAATTCTTTTTTGCCTTAGATTTCAACAGATTGACCATGGTCCTGAAAATGATAGTAAGTGCCTCTAATTTAATCTGCTGCTTGTGATCGATGGATCTGAAATGATTACTGTTATCAACATTCTCAGTATCATGAGAGGTAAACTGGTGATAGGCGATTAAGATTGCAAACTTGTCATCTTTGGGGTTAATGCATTAACAGAATGTTGAGCATCTTGTACTGCTGTGCTTGTGGACATAGTACACTTGACTTTGTCAGTTGTATACACACAGAAGGTTAGCAAGGAAGAGAGGAGAACAGGCCTACCTCTAAAACATAATAATACATGCTCTGCAGGGCTCTCCAGCTGTTTGACTGGAAACCCCACCTGAACAAGAACGTTTTCATAAATCACACAGAGATATAAATTCAGAGGATCACTCCACTAATGCAGCCTGAAAATAAGCCTCTGAGAAACATTACTCTGTGTTGATTAGCACAGTCTGGGAAGGCAGAAAAACTGAACTCCCTGATCTTGCAGTTAGGCATAAATGTGCAATTCTGTATCAGTTTAATCTGATCTAGAACCAGGATACCACACTCCTGACCCTTCCCTTCCCTTCATCCTTGCATATGATCAATCCAGGTAGTTAATCTGGCTGAAAAATAATCTTACTAGAAAAAACCTGATCCGCTACCTCCTTGAATCAACCCATGACGTAGCTGCTTGAGCATTCATACTGCGGAGAGGAAAATAGGAATGCTAGCCCATGGCAACACAGGATCATTGCAACCTGGAGTTACATCAGCTTAAGCTGCTACAGAGCTACACTCTGGGATGTACTCTAAAAAGTATCAGGTATACTTTTCTTAGGAACTGTAGAACAAGCCTGCAGGCAATAAAGGGAATATTAGCCCTGATATATAGGAGCTCAGTTTCATCTCAAGGCAATTCATACATCATGTTGATGTTTGGTATGACTATTAGCATTTTAGAAATAGACACAGAATGTAAGAAAAAGGTCCAGCAGAGATACTAGGGACATGTTGAACATGTCGCTACAAGAAACCTACCATTAACGGCATGAGCCAGGCAGGGAAACTAGAGAACACACATGACGCAGGTTGTCACTGAAACTGAACTCCATCAGGATGCAAAATCCCAAAACAGAAGGACTTGCAACAGAAGCACAATAGTTTTACAGCAACAGGAAAATGGTTTGAATACTGTGAATTTCAAGACATTTAATATCCTGTCTGCAGAGCTAGAAAAATCCCAGACAGTTATCATTCTGCATCTGTACTGGCAGTTCACATATTGAAGTTGTGTTTCAGCTCACAAACTGAGACATCTAAATTTGGATGTTTAATTCCCTAGAATGTTAATTGCCTAGAGAGTGATTCAGGTGATCAGCTGTTTAATAACTGCTTTATGAAGCTGAATTGTTCTGTTGACTCCATTGACTAGGGGCAGTATGCCACTACCTAAGCATAGAGCAATTTTTAACACTCGGACGGTTTTCCAGAAGGCAGATATCTATGACAGATCCTGTGTTTTGTGTGCCAGCCCCATGTGGCTGTCTGAAGCAACTTAGGCCATTTAACATAGCACAGGTCATTCACTTATACTTAAGCAACTAAATCCTTCCCAGGACCTGTACATATTAGGCTCCTATGTAGATGTCAAAATTGGTTTCAGACACCTAATTTAACTGAACCCTATCTTGGGGTCTTTCCAGAATTTTTGAACTATTTTCCCCAAGGATGTAAAGTGCCTTATGTATTGGGTTTACATGGCAAGGTTTTGGTAGCAGGGGGGCTAAAGGGGTGGCTTCTGTGAGAAGCTGCTAGAAGCTTCCCCCCTGTCGGACAGAGCCAGTGCCAGCCAGCTCCAAGACGGACCCGCCGCTGGCCAAGGCTGAGCCAATCAGCCACGGTTGGTAGCTCCTCTGGGATATATTTAAGAAGGGGTAAAAACTGCTGTGCAACAGCAGCCAGAAGAGAGAGAATATGTGAGAGAAACAACTCTGCAGACACAAAGGTCAGTGAAGAAGGAGAGGGAGGAGGCACCAGGGCAGGCCCCTGCAGCCTGTGGTGAAGACCATGGTGACACAGTTTGCCACCCTGCAGCCCACGGAGGTCCACAGTGGAGCAGATATCCACCCTGCAGCCCGTGGAGGACCCCACACCAGAGGAGGTGGATGTGCCTTGAAGAAAGCTGTGACCCCCTGAAGAGCTCGTGCTGGAACAGGTCTTCTGGCAAGACATGTGGCCCCAAAGGGGATCCACGCTGGAGCAGTCCATTCCTGAAGGACTGCACCCTATGGAGAGGATCCATGCTGGAGCAGTTCATGAACTGCAGCCCGTGGGAAGGACCCATGCTGGAGAATTTCATGAAGGACTATCTCCCATGGGTGGGACCTCACACTGGAACAGGGGAAGAGCATGAGGAGGAAGGAGCAGCAGAGACAACGTGTGATGAACTGACCTCAGCCCCCATTCCCCATCCTCCTGGGCCGCTCGGGGGTAGGAGGTAGAGAAGTCCAAAGTGAAGTTGAGCCTGGGAAGAAGGGAGGGGTGGAGGGAAGGTGTTTTAAGATTGTTCTTATTTCTCATTATCTACTCTGTTGTTAATTGGCAGTAAATTAAATTAATTCCCCCAAGTCAAGTCTGTTTTGCTTGGTGGGCACCTGATGGTTAGCCAAGGTCAACCCACAACAACTTGCCAGGTTAACAGAGGCATAAGAGAGTTCACTTCCTACCCAAATAGACTCCCATTAGACAGATCACTGAAGAAATTGCAAGGGTGAACTAAGTGATAGCAGAATACTGCACTGACTGAAAAAGCTTTGTCGGATGATACAAAAAGCTTCCCTGACTGTAGCAATACTCAAATATAGCACTAAGGTTAGCAAGACATTTTCCAAATGGAAGAGGAGGACAGAAAAAAACCTGTAACTTAGAATCACAGAATATCTCAGGTTGGAAGGGACCCATAAGGATCATCAGCACCTCCCCTTCCACTGCCCTCCCCGAGGAAGTTGTAGACTGCGATGAGGTCACTCCTCAGCCTTCTCTTCTCAAAGCTGAACAAACCAAGTGACCTCAGCTGTTCCTCATAAGTCTTGCCCTCAAGAACTTTCACCATCTTGGTCGCCCTCCTCTGGATACACTCTAATAGTTTGATGTTGTTCTTATATTGAGGTGCCAAAACCGCACACAGTGCTCGAGGTGGGGCTGCACCAGTGCAGTGTAGAATGGGGCAATCACCTCCCTCGACCAGCTAGCTATGCTGTGCTTGATGCACCCCAGGACATGGTTGTCCCTTTTGGGTGCCAGGGCACATTGTTGACTCATATTCAACTTGCCATCAACCCAAACTCCCAGATGTCTTTCCATGGGGCTGCTTTCCAGCCTCTCGTCCCCCAGTTTGTATGTATAAGCAGGATTACCCCATCCCAGTTGCAGAATCCGGCACTTGCTCTTGTTAAATTTCATATGGTTCATGATTGCCCAGCTCTCCAGTCTATCCAGATCTCTCTGTAAGGTCTCTCTACCCTCAAGGGAGTCCACAGCTCCTCCTAGTTTAGTATCACCAGCAAACTTACTTAATGTACATTTGAATCCTACATCCAGATCATTTATAAAAACATTAAAGAGCACTGGCCCTAAAATTGAGCCCTGGGGAAGCCCACTGGTGACTGGCCACCAGCCTGATGTAACTCCATTTACTATAACCCTTTGAGCCCGACCCATCAGCCAATTGCTCACCCAATGTACTATGGACTCATCTAGCTGTGTGCTGGACATTTTGTCCAGAAGGATATTGTGAGAGGCAGTAGCAAAAGCTTTGCTAAAATAAAAAAAACCCAAAACAAAACACATCTACTCGCTTTCCTTGGTCAACTAGATGGGTGACCTTGTCATAAAAGGAAATTAGGTTAGGTAAGCAGGACTTTCCCCTCATGAACCTGTGTTGACTATGACCAATGAGTACATTGTCTCTCAAGTGTTTTTCAATAACTCCCAGGATAACCTTCTCCATAATTTTACCAGGCACTGTAGTGAGACTGACAGGCCTGTAATTACCAGGGTCTTCCTTCTTAACCTTCTTGAAAAGTGGGACAACAATGCAGTAGCATTTTCAGAAGTTGACACACACACTCTTCTGCAAATGTTTGAGCATTAGGTCAGAACATGAAGCCCAGCTGTCAACAAGTCAGTAGTGGTGTACCCCAGAGGTAAATACTGGAGCCAACACTGTTTAACATCTTCGTTAATGACCTAGATGATGAGTCAAGAGTACATGCAATTTTGCAGACACATCAGGAGGAGTTGTAGATACACCAGATAGTTGTGCTGCTGTTCAGAGGCACCTTGACAAGCTGGAGAAATGTGCTAACAGGAATCTCATGAAGTTCAACAAAGGGAAATGCAAAGTCCTGCATCTGGAAAAGAATAACCCCATGCTCTAGGACACCCTGGGGGCTGATCAGCTGGAAAGCAGCTTTGTAGAAAAGGTCCTGGGGTTGACAAATTGAACAGAAATCAGCAACGTGCCCTTACAGCAAAGAAGGCCAACTGCATACTCGGCTGCACTAGGAAAAGCATTGTCAGCAGGCTGGGGGAGGTGATCCTTCCCCTCTGCACAGCACTGGTAAGGCACATCTGGAGTGCTGAGTCCAGTGCTGGGCTCCCCAGCACAACAGAGATATGGACATGCTGGAGCAAGTCCAACAAAGGACCACAAAGATGATTAAGGGACTGAAGCATCTGTCATATGAGGAGAGGCTGCAAGAGCTGGACTTGTTTAGCCCAAAAAAGAGAAGGCACAGGGGGATCTTATCAATGTATATAAATATCTGATGGGGGAAGTAGAGGCCATGGAGACAGACTCTTCTCAGTGGTTTCCAGGGAGAGGACAAAAGGCAATGGGCACAAATTGAAATACAAGAAATGCCTCTTAAAGGTAAGGAATATTTTCTGAATTTTATTTTAATTTTATTTTCCCTGTAGGGGTGATTAAACACTGGAGCAGGTTGCCCAGAGAGGTTGTGGAATCTCCATCCTTGGAGATATTCAAAACCCAACTGGACACAGCCCTGAGCAACCTGCTCTAGCTGACTTGGCTTTGTGCAAGGGTGTTGGACTAGGTGATCTCCAGAGGTCCCTTCCAACTTCAAACTCTAACATTAATGCTCAGCAACATTACTTACTTATGAATAATCAGAAGAAGAATTAGGAGGAGCAACTATTATTTCCTCTCCCTCCCATGTTAAACTTTTTTTTTGGGGAAACAAAAACAAAAACAAAACCAAACCCAGAACATTCCTAAATAGGTACAGATTAAAATTAACAAAAAGTCTGAGAATGGCCGAAGCATCCTTGATTACATGTGAGAGCTTATCAGGCTTGAAGATGAAGAGCCTAAAGCTCTTTCATGTCCTGAAAGCCCTGAAAAGGGAGATACCCTATCAAGTTCTACCCACTATCATAATCTAATAAACAGGTCAGGTCCAGAACTGAATCTGGCAACAGTGATTATGGACTTGTCAGCTGCACTGACAGCCTTTGTAGCTTTTTGTAAATAGGTTTAGGCTAATAAACAGACCTCAATAATATTAAAAAGGTATTATCTGAAATTAAGAAAGCTCCCCAAGCCCACTCAAAGTTTTCAGCACTCAGAATTGGTGCCTGGCAGGCAACACTAGTAATTCAGTGGAAAGAACTGATGAGAAGATTGGACATAATCAATAAGAGTCTGTATTTGTGAACAGAGGTTTAGATCTTCCACCTTTATCAGAAAGGAATGGATGGACTAACAGAATGCAAATTCAACTCCCAGCTGGGAGCTGCTACTTTCAGTCAATCCTTCTAGCCATAAAGCTAAGGATTCAGGATTAAGGATTTAAACCACTAATGATCATATGCCAGAGCAAAGAGTGCAGCGAGGCTCTCTCTATATCTACCTAGAAAAAGATAGGCATACAAAAAAGAAAACGTGACAAAATGTCAAGAGACCAGAAATCATGAGGAGGAAGGAAGAGCAAAAGCTGGGGCAGAAAAGTAAATGTGCAAAGTGTGACCAAACTTCCACATTCTTGCGGCGCAAAGGGGATGTGTTTTGATATGCCAGGAGAAAGATTCGGAACCAAGTCTGATTATTACCACTTTTTTCCCCAAAAATTAAAAAAAAAAGTTTCATACTGAAGGCTGTGTTTCACCCAAAGATTCAAGGTACAAACTTTCTTTAGAAAACCTTATATGTAGTAATTAACATGTTATATTTAAAATCTCACAAGATGTGGAAGAAAAAATTAACTACAAGAAGTTGCTTCTGAAGCCTAGAGAGCCGTTTCATTTTACATATATAATTCCCAATTATTTACTGTGCCTACATGAATATGAAATACTGAGGTGATGCAGTGGATTCAATAAAACAGAAGAAAATGATTAATACAGAATTAAATACAGCTAAGGCATTTTAGGTACTGTGACAAAGAACGCATAAAGGTACACGCTTTTTCAAGAGGACAAAAAATGACCTAAAATGAAATATACCAAGGACATAAAACCAAATACAAAATCAGTCAATAAAGTCCTACCTGTCTTCTCTCTTTCCACCCATGTTTTCTCTCCTTCCTTTCCCTCCTCTCAATTGCCTTAGTACATCCCAATTTTAGTCAAAATTAAGACATCTTAAAACACAATGTGTAAGTAACAAAAAAACCCCCCAAACTTAGTGTCAGGTATCCAAAACCTGGTCTATCAAACATTTCACCCAATTCACACCCTACCACCATTTTTAAAATCCCATATGCCCCTAGTACCACAATTATGCAGCAACCTCAGAGCTCATTTTTTGACAGAAGTTCATATATTCCATGAAAGGGAACATTATGTATTTTAAACAGGCAAGGAGGAGTTAGAACTTAGGAGCCAATGTCTTGTCACCTAACCAGAAAAAAAGCTTGGATACTACTATCTTGGTGCACGCTAAAAGCTACAATACAGCAATTCTTGACTGAGCGAAATATAGGTAGTCAAATAAAATAATTCTCATTTTGCTGTAAAGTTGGCTGCTTCTTATGCTACTTTTAACACAGACTATAGCAGTGCAGTCTTCTAAATGGAATCATTCAGAAGGGAAATTATTTTGCTACAGTTATCTGTCTCTAATAAAATAAAAACTGCTATAAAAGAAGAGAAGCGTACCAGGGAATGGTTTTAAGTATTGAGGGACATGCACTGGAGGCAAAGCACTTGGTTCTTATTACCTCAGGATACAAGAGCTGGAGTGATGATTTAGACATACACTTTTATATTTAAGTCAGAAATAGGAATAAAGGGTTTTCTAAATGAAACATAAATATCAACAGTTTATAGCTTGGAGTCAGAGCTGATTTGTCTTGTATTGCTACCTATTGTACTGTAAAAAAAGGTTTAATGCAAAACCATTAAAAGTAACCAAAGCCCACTCACATAAAATCACAGTAAGATAAAAGTTTGCTTACCTCTTCTTTTTTAATGTGTTTTACACTCATAAAACACTGAAGCAACAAGTCCTTGACTTCATTACTTTCCTCTGAATCATAGTCAAAATAAAGTAATGTCTGATGTAGATTCCATAGACGAACTACATCTGCACCCTGACAGGAAAAAAAAGCCCACATTATAGTGAAGTAGGTATAGCTTTAATGTGAAGAAGCATTTAAAGGATTTTAAATAATGAATTTGAAATGCATTGATACAGACGGAAGATTTTCAGATTGTAAAATTTTGAACATTAATTGACTTTCACCACATCATTTGGAAAAATTACAAAAATACGCGTAACTGCAGAAGTACTGACTTCCGACAACTGAAGACATGCTCAAGTACAGAAAGAAAGCCGCTATTTCATGCAAAATAGATGAAAACTGTATTATTCCACTTTTGAAACTTTATACAATGAAAGCCGTTAACAATGAAAAAGAAAAGAAAGAAATAAGTAAAGGAGATATTTATTGGGTTAGTGCAAAAGATGTATGACACAATACTCTAAATAACTCACAGGTTAAAAAAAAAGATTTGTAGATAGATACAGAGTAACAGAAAAAGAAGCTTCCACATAAGAAGTCTCTATGAGTAGCTGAACATAGTCCTTAAAACCTGAATTAACTAAATGAGTTAATTGCTATTTAAACCTTAGTCACTGGACTTACAAATGAGTGAAGAAATAAAAAAAAAAGAATAAAAATAAATAAAGAAAAGGGGGGGGAAGGAAGGCGGGGGGGGGAGCAAAAAAAAAAAAGTGGGGAAAAAAGGTGGAGGAAAAAAGGTGGGGGAAAGCAGTTCCCTTGTGAAATTGATGCCAAAAATCTTTAAAGTTTGTTCTAGAGAAGGCAACATTTTAATATGTTGCTTCTGCAAGGGACACCAAAAAGACACTTTGTAACCAACATGTATCCTATGTTTCATTAATTGAGAAGCACTAGGACATGGAAAACAAGTTAACCTGAAATAAAAGGTATTTTGGAGGGATAATCTTTCTTGGAATATTCAGTATTAATCTAAAAGTCAATATAGCTTCAGCATACCGTAGCAGCTTTATTCAGGCTTTTTCTTAGCAGAATGATAAACAGACTCTTCCCTAGCTGCTCCTTCCCTTCCAGTCCTTTCTCCCACCACATTTCACACACACGTTGGATAGCGCCCTGTAGGATTTTTTCAGATTCAGGTAATGCAGGAAGAATACCTACAACAGTAATAAAGTAATTATTTACTGCACTGAACCAAGTTATTCCTATGAAACATTAGTCTGTTAGTACACTAACTATACCTCACAGTGTGAACCAGCTCTTGCCACATTTACACATCTTAATGGCTTTTTCTCACTGTGGGTATTTAGGCAGCTTTGTTAACTCTACAGTTTTGGCCAAGTTTTTGGATCAGTAACAATGATCCAAAGTTAACAATGATCTTAAGTTTTGCCTTAAAAATACCATAAGCTGCAGAATAAGGAGAGTTACCTATCATTGGGTGAACAGTTGGGAGAAGGAAAACTACTTAAGTTCAAACTTTTAGACTGTGTAACTGATTTTTAAGTAAATGCTCCCTTAATTTTGTCTCATAAATAAGAACTCACATCAGTACCAACTTTTCTCCTGTAAATTCTGTTCCATAGGCCAGTCAGGTCAAACAAAAAGCCTAGTATACTCATCTGTTAAAAAAACAGTATAAAGCTGTATTCTATAACAGATAAGTACGTACCATTTAATATAAAAACACATTCTAGAAGAGCTTTGTATTTTACAGGCTCATCCACTGCAGGTATGGAAGCAGCAACTACAGCTGTCACTCCTTGGATCACAGCTACAGTTTGTTTCTGAAAGAAAGCAATGTCAAGGAAACAATTCTATGGTTTATTTTATACTCAGAAGATAATTATGACCTATCAAATAAGAAGAGGCAAAAGCGTAGCTTTTAAAGTGCATCCATTTCAAAAAGTTTGAAAATGCCTTTCAGCTCCAGCTAGTAGATAATTCGGCGACTGTACATGTGTATCCATTCCACCATTAAAACTTCATCTGCAACAAAACCACTCAAACACACATCCATTTCGGAACTAAGACGACCCTAACTAGCAGGGTCTCGTGCAACCCAAAAACGTGGACGTCTGGTGACTTTAGACCCAGGTACCTGATTCTGTAGGCCTCTGTACGTATGATGGATTTTCTACAAGCCTCTAGGTCTCCCTAATGATTTCCCCACTGCACTTCTTTTTTCTTTCCAAAATTAAATAACCTTTTCCCCCCGCTATTCTCAAGACTACATGGACTACAGCGCAGAAGGCAGTATATGAGGGTCTGACTCAGAGAAATTCTGCATAAGCTAAATTTGTGGGAGGGGCGTTCAAATCTAGATTTCATGATCTGCATTCAATGAAATGACATAACAGGTAGTGAATTTCTTATAGTATATGCCAGATACTCAAGGAACATCTGAGAGATCAACATTTGTTTACTGAAATAAGACACACAAAAAGCCCACTCAACTTTAGTGAAAAAACTAAGTCCAATCTTTCATAATTAAAATTATCAGCAGGTCTAATCTTTTATAGTATAGACCAATCATAAGTTCAGCTTAACCCAAGCATGATAGTTAAGAAGTCAATTAAGAACGGAGCAGGGAGATGATGTTTGGAACTGACCTTGTTTGATAACCCTTGCATGTTTTCAGATGCTGTGAAAATATTTCATTTCTCAGAAAATATGAAATACGCATCATATTTTTATTTTACAAGATTTTTACCATTTGTGGAACTATCTCAACTTCCATGTCATCATTACTTTTCTCATCTTCAATCCTCTGCCATGTTTCCACAGGGTTCTCCATCAAAGTTTCTGTCAATAGTTGCGTCAGTCTCTCCCATAGTACTTCTTTTTGCTTTTTTGGCAATTCTTGAAGTAGTTCATTCAAGTCGAAAGGATCAAATGTATTTTTCTGAGAATAGTCAGAAGATATCACACAATTCCACATAGTGAAGTGGCTTATATTTCATTATCATATTTCCTAAAATTAACATTTTTTACATTAAGGATTAATTTCCATTCCTCTGCAGTTATAGAACCTTCTAGAAGTTGTATTTCTTTAAAAAATAGCACGAGAAATTCCTGCTGCTTAACTCTTTATCGTGAAACAAGAGTGCTTCTTTTAAGACTAAAGTCTTTAGCCCTTGATAGCAACACTACTGAACATAAATCACGTCCCCGTAACATCAACTTCTGTCTCTCGTGTTCTAAATACTTCGTTCCCAATGGAGACAATTCCATACCCTTAGCTAAGAAGCTCACAACTGCACAGAATTAAAGTCCCTGATCATATCTTTGCTATCTTAAATATAGATTGATGATGGCTGTTAAAAGAAAATCCTTACACAAGGACTAGAAATGTAACAGTACAGATACAGGGACAGCACTACAGGTTTTGGAGTACAATCTGCATAGAACAGCGCTCTGTATATTGCACTATTTTAAAGCCCCTCCTATCAAACCTAACTCCTGAGCACATTAACTCTATACTTCCCTCTTAAGCTCTGCTGAATGGGAAGCGACTCCCAGTCTCTATAAAAGACTTCACTAAGAGACTGATCTAAACTATTTCCTCAGAAGAACCTTGCTAGAAGAATTTACCTCAGAGACGCAAAGAGCCTGTTAGCGTCAAAGAAGGGTAGGCAACCTGCTAGGAAAGGGAATATGCAGAGAAAAGATGAGAAGAAAAACCAGACGCAGCCAAGAGGAAGTGCAGATAATTTTTGAGCTGTAATTTGCAATACTGAATACTGTCTACCAGATTAAAAACACTTCAGAGGAAAGAGGGAGAATGTCCATGATCTTGAAATAAAAATATTTTTAGTTTGCAGATATGCTAAAAAACAGGAATCAAAAAGAAAAAAAAAGTTGAAAGGAAAAAGAAAAATAGAAAATAATGAAAGAAGCAGCAGTAAGTATTAAAAGGTTCCCAGAAGGGTATGAGAAGAAAGATCCTGTTACATATTTATATCAGACTTTCTATTCTATTCTATGGCTGGAAACAAATACAATAAACCAAAGGTCACACAGGGAGTTCTGCAGCCCTCTACTTCAAACGAACCCAAAACCCAGGATATTAAGATGTACTGTTTTGAGCAAAAAGAATGAATTCATAGTAAGACCAGAGCATTCTGATCTTTCTTTGGGATTATATGAGATAGAATGATTCCAAAACCTATGAGGGAAAAGGATGTCATTGAATTATAGTCATATCCATGATTCCTATTTTCCTGTCTAAGAAATAATGTATTTTCTTGAATTGGAACAGGATTTAGTGGAAAAATTTAACAGCACCTGACAAAGACTTCAATGAACAGCACCACAATACAGTAATATTTTTAAAAGATTACAAAGAAAGAAAAGTGAAAAGCCCAAGGCAAACCTTGAAGAAAAATTAGTAAACTCCTGGAATCTTAGATGATGTGAATGAAACAAAACATTGAGAAGAAGGGAAAAGGAAAATTAAAGATGGGTAAGGGGGTGTAGAAATGAGAGACATTGGAAGAAGTAGTGATGCTAAGAGCAGAACTTTTTTTTAAAGTTAAAAAGGCAAATTCTGAGGCTAGAGCACAAAATAGGTAGAAAAAGCAGAGCATAAATATAATATGAAGCCTAAGGAAAGCAGTGAGGCTCTAACCACGCTTTCTAAGGGAAAAGGAAAATTAAAGATGGGTAAGGGGGTGTAGAAATGAGAGACATTGGAAGAAGTAGTGATGCTAAGAGCAGAACTTTTTTTTAAAGTTAAAAAGGCAAATTCTGAGGCTAGAGCACAAAATAGGTAGAAAAAGCAGAGCATAAATATAATATGAAGCCTAAGGAAAGCAGTGAGGCTCTAACCACGCTTTCTTCTCTTTCTACATTTTATACATCCACTTCTAAAGGACAGAATACACTACCACAGCCTCCTCCAGAAAAGCAGTGAAGAATTATTCAAGGGAGACCCTAAAGCGAGAATCCTCATCCTAAGATAAGACATGGTCAAACACCCTTCATCACTGAAGGTTTCAAAAGGAAATAAATAAAATAACTCAGGTCTCTTAGACAAGCAAAAACTAATCTGGATATTCACGTTCCCTTATGTTATGAAGGCATGAAGACAGTTTTAATCATTATACTCATTATAGCCAGTGATATACAGTTTCCAGAGATATTGTCAACAGCTGAAAACTGCTGCAAGACAACTCTTGTGAATTGGTGATGAAAAATAAAAGGATGAAAAAACAATTTTTAATCCAAACAGACCAAGATATGTTAAGATAGATTACTGGATGAAGATGGCAGAAACAACACGACCAAATTAATTGAAAAGGAAACACTGCAAGTACCGTACGTTATCCTAAACAGAATACTTTCTTGTTAAAGTGTTTAGATTTGGGGAAAAATGGAAAGGAGACTTCAAAGAAAGGCAATCTGTTAATAAAGTTGTCATCTATAATTACATACAGGAGTGCAAATGAAAAACCTAGCAAATTTCTTGGAAAAAGAGATTCGGTGATGTTTGGGAGACAAACATTCCTAAGCTTATTACACAGAACATGATCCCTGTCATAGAACCCATAGCTTTAATACATCTGCTACATCAGTAAATTAGTTCGTGCCTCTGTGGACATAAACATCAACTGATCCACCTACCTTAACCTGATAGAGGTAATATTAGGAAAATACTGATTAAAAGCTTCAGAAACTAACCTGACAATACCATTTATTAAGGCTAGCAAAAGATGTTTAGGAGAAATCGTGTATGTCTTAATACCAGACAGATTGAAGCTTTGTGGAAAACACCACAATGCAAATTATTATTTCTGATTACTATGTACTATCACATACACAATGTGAGAATTAACTTTTAATTAGTAGATTTCAGTAGATTTGTTTTGCTGTTCCTCCTGCTTCTCTCCACACTGCATTTAGAGACAGTAATCTATCACATCTCTAAGACATTCAGTGATAAAAAGAGCTATCATTTACAATTACACACGGACTAAAGAATAAGTGGACAGCCTAAACTATCAAATGAATGAACAAATACTAGTGAAACATGCCTCTGCTATGTTTGTATATTAGCTCGTATTCATTACATAGCACTAAACTCTTTCATAGGTTGAAATTTAAAAAAACAGTACTTCATCAGCATCAAATGAGTACTTTTTTATAGTATTACCACAATACTAATCATTTATTTTAAAAAAAATGTAAACTGTGTATGCAACAACCAAATGTTAAAAAATTAGTTGGTTTATAAATAGCAAAATTTCAGATTCTACAACTTTTTCAGCTATGTTCCTTTGAGCGCCATTTGAACTTATTTTCTACAGCAATTATTCTAGCACATCTGCAGGTACCAGAGAAACAGTTTCTGTCCCTACATCACAAAATTTCTGCACCGATAACAGACAAGATTTTATTAGCAATGCACGCGTATCATGGCTTACTTACAGGATTCTGAGTATAACGCAAGAAGTCTTCAACTGACTCTTTAGACACAACTTGTAAAAACGCTTCGCGTTTCATTGTGGTCTTGTTTTTCCTTGCTTTATAAACAAAACAGAAAAAAAGTTAGAGAAAATACTGTATCTCAAAATAAGATCATTTTTGGTCTCAGTGAAGAACGTATGAACTTACAGTCTTCATCCACATAGTTATAAATAAAAGATGTTTCCCCCTCCAACATACTTCACAGTTACCTGAATCAGCATTTAGAGTCATAACAGCACTACGCTGCAGTATTTGCATGCATTCTTTTTAGTCCTTTTTTTACTAAACAAGTTTTAAAAAAGAAGAACTTTTTTATGGATGCTTTTATTTTTAAAAAGAACAGTGTATCCAGCACATACCCCCTGTTTAGCTAGCCATCATTCCCGACGACAGCGTTTACTCGTATGAGAAGTACTGATGGGCAGCAAAATATTCCCTCCTTTTCTCTCTTGCCAAGTGAAGACTACGGGAAACGGGCAAGGCCACTTTTCGACACCAAGAGCTTAATTTACGCTCCTAAGCATTCCCTCCATCCTAGGTGATTCCTGACGCGCTTTGCCCATCCCTACCAGTTGGGAGGCTGCCTTACACAGCCATTGCTGTCTGTGAAGCCACCTCACAGAACGGGGCGGGTGCCGGTCCAGGGCACTGTCCCGGATCAGGCAGGGGCTGGCCGCTTGCCGGGCTGGCGCCAGGCCCGCGGCACGGCCCGGCCCCCCCGGCCGCCGTACTCTCCCGACAGACGAGGAAGTGGTAAGACAGACGGGCCGCTTACCTAGCGCTCCCTCGGAAAGAAATCCTCATAGACCTACGGGTTACGTTTCCAATAACGCGGAGCTGCCTGCACAGGAGGGAAACAAAAACGGCGATCGCCCGGCCTGACAGACGGGCCGCTTACCTAGCGCTCCCTCGGAAAGAAATCCTCATAGACCTACGGGTTACGTTTCCAATAACGCGGAGCTGCCTGCACAGGAGGGAAACAAAAACGGCGATCGCCCGGCCTGACGCGCAGAGGAGCCCGCGCCCCTCCGTAGCGCTGCCCACGGAAAAACCCGTCCGCACGAATGCC